CCGATGACTGGGTCTTGGCCCAGTGAAGGGTGCAGCCAGACTAAGGGAGCTTTTGAGCCTCCCCCGGAGTCTGTAGCGGAATGGAAGCTGCGGTCTCAGTCTGCTGATTGGCATCTCAGTGACATGGACCAGGGAGAGGTTGTGCACACTGTGTCCCTTTTAGTTCAGCAGCATCTGAGGAGCTGAGCTGGATGGGCTGGACTGACAGAAGAACCCTGTGAACATGCAGGGAATGGGTGGAAGGCGTCCAAAGAGACCGCCTGTTTGCCTCCTGTTTGCCTTCTCCCAGAGGGTTCCAGGTTTAATTGAGCAGGAAGGGGCATTACAATGGACTGTCCGGATCCCACTGTTCTCCTGCCCCAGAGACTGATCCCTAATCACAGACTAGCCCACCCTCCTGCCCCAGAGACTGATCCCTGACCACACACTACCCCATGCCTCCCAGAACCCCTCCTGCCCCAGAGACTGATCCCTAACCACAGACTAGCCCACCCTCCTGCCCCAGAGACTGATCCCTGACCACAGACTAGCCCACCCTCCTGCCCCAGAGACTGATCCCTGACCACAGACTACCCCATGCCTCCCAGACCCCCCTCCTGCCCCAGACACTGATCCCTGACCACAGACTAGCCTACCCTCCTGCCCCAGAGACTGATCCCTGACCACAGACTAGCCCACCCTCCTGCCCCAGAGACTGATCCCTGACCACAGACTGCCGCATGCCTCCCAGAACCCCCCTCCTGCCCCAGAGACTGATCCCTGACCACAGACTAGCCCACCCTCCTGCCCCAGAGACTGATCCCTGACCATAGGCCACCCTGGAGTCCCAATCAAAGGAGCAGGTGCTTCCGTTTACTGTCTCTCTGATGCCTCGCCAGGGAGAGGGCATCAATCTGAGCCAAGGGCCCAGGATACACAGGGGACGGACACGCATTGGAGCCTCTAGGCCTGACCTCCCACCCGCCTACAGGTCACCTTCATGCTGCTTGATCAGAACAACCGTGAGCACGCCATTGACGCTTTCCGGCCCGACCTGAGCTCGGCCTCCTTCCAGCGGCCCCAGAGTGAAACGAACGTGGCCAGCGGCTGCCCGCTCTTCTTCCCGCTCAACAGGCTGCAGTCTCCCAAGCACGCCTACGTGAAGGATGACACCATGTTCCTCAAGTGCATCGTGGAGACCGGTGGTTAGGTGGAGGGAGAGGACTGAGAGAGCTCCGCCCAGCTCCGGGAGAACAGCAGCTGGGACTGGGGTCAGCAAGGCGACCCTGGGGTCCCACCCCAGCAATCCAAACTCTGAGGAGGGGCTGAGGCTGGCGTGATCTGGGCAGACTGGCACATGGACTGTGGCTGGCCACCAGCTCAGGGTGGCAGCACCTTGGACTGCCCTCACAAAAGCAACAGACCTGAGGGGGCAGGAGCAGAATGGCTCTCCTTCGCACCAGACTACACCCTGGGAAGGCTGAGCCTAAATGCTGAGATTTCAGCCAAGGTGGGGAGAGAATGCGGGCCAGGGCTGGGGCGGGCATGGTGGGCTAGGAGGGTCGGGCCTGAGTGAAGAAGCTCCAGAAGAGAACTGTGACCCCTCTCAGTGGGAAGGAGCAGGCGTGGCCCTCTGAACTCCTCTGGGCCTGGAGTGAGCTTCCCATCACCAGACCAACAAGCGATGCCTGGTGGCTACCTGGCAGGCTGTGACATCTAATTGGGAGCAGAACAGGAAGACCTTCCCCCAGCAGTGGGCTGGGCTTGCCAGACAGTGCCTGGCAGCCTGGGCCTCGCAGCTCAACTGCCCAAACAGGCCGGAGCACACAGCCCCTGCTTCCTGTGCCTCCACCAGTCCAAGTCCCCATGGCTTCGTACAGGGACACCAGGAACAGCCGGAAGGAATGTGGAGAAGGAAGGTGTAAACCTTCCATGCTCCCAATAGCTTGGGGGTCCCGCCTAGAGTGCTTTCCAGAATCTCATGTTGCCTGGTTCATGAAGATGTTCACTTCTCTTCATTGACTGACCGAGGCTGCTGAGCCACTGATCAGAGGTGTGTTTTGAAATACAGAGCCGAAGAGAATGAAAGATGAACTCTCTTGAAGCTGACAGACAGTGGATGGCTGTGGAGTCGGTGCTCACTGAGCCGGGCTTGAAAAGTCCATGGTTGAGGTGGGGTGGGGGGAGGCAAGGGCGGGCTGTGGGGGTCTTCAGTGATGTAGATGGGTTGAGACTCAAGCATGTCAGGAGTAAGTCTGTGCTGACATATGAGGGGGTACCCCAAAGAAGCCAGAATTTTATTTATTTACTTTTTCAAACCTATGCATTTAAACTTTTTTTACCAAGCAACCTTATCACCTTCAAAGTACTCTCCATTACACTTGATACATTTGTCAAATCTGCAATTCCACTCTTGGAAACATTTTCCAAACTCATCTGTTTAGGTGGCTGACAGCACCTCCCTTGTTTTGTTCTTGACCTCTTCTACGTTGTCAAATCACAGCCCTTTCTGGTCCCCTTCATTCTTGGAAACAAAAAAAAAGTCACACTGAGTGAGGTAAGGTGAGTCAGGTGCATGGGGGCAAGAGAGGCATGCTGTTTTTTGCCAAAAACTGGCGCACTGAGATGGCTGTGTGAGCAGGTACATTGTCATGATGACAAAACCAGTGTCCCCTGTCTGCCATAAATCAGGGCTTTTTTATCACACACTGTTAGGCAATCTTTTCAGAACCTCTAAATAGAAAGCTTGATTAACAGTCTGACCTGGTGGAACAAACTCTAAATGCACTACGAGTCAACATTTTCATCCATTGGGGAAGTTGAGGGACATCCAGAACGAGGTTTGTCATCAATCACCATTTCACCTTTTTTGAAATGAGAAAAACACTCACATGCTTGAGTTTTTCCCATAGCGCTGTCCTTGTAAGCTGTGTTCAACATCACAACAGTGTCTACGGCATTTTTCCCGAGCAGGAAACAAAATTTCACAGCCACACACTGTTCTCTTAAATCAACCATCACAAAAATGAAGTTCGAGCAAAACTGCTTTCTTGAGAAAAATTCACTGTGACCAAAGAGAACCTTCCCAGGTGACGCCACTGGGTGCACTAACTCAGCGAGTTGCTCAGTGCTCACCTAGTGGGAAAAATGTGTACTACAAAAGGTCTGCTCAGCCCAGCTCCATTCTGGTTTAGGCAGGGAAGGGTACCCCCTTGTAGGATGAGCAGTCCACCTCCACTCAGGGGCCTGGTAAGTTGCATCTTCACCCGACTTGCTGAGGGAAAGGTGTTTGTGGGCCAGCTTCTCCTAGGAACTATTCACTTGACCTTTAGTTGCTTATTTCTGATGAGTGGAGACACACACTCTCTTCAAACAGTGTGAGACAAAACCTCACAGCCATTCTTTTAGCAAAGTGATAATGAGACTACTGGTGCCACCAACATGCTAACTACTAGGAACAGAGAAGTAAAATTTCTCCCTGCCCTGAGAAAGTTCCCAGGGGAGACATCCTTGCAATCAGGAGTGAGAAGCTCCTTAGACCCACAGCCATAGACCATGGGAAGGGGCTTTGTGGAAGCTCTGGCTTTAAATCTTTTCAAATGCGAAGGACAGGTATAGGTACAGTAGAAACCCAGGTGAGAAGTCAGTCTTGGAAACTGGTGGGGCCTGTGGGGCAGGGGGCTACCTCTCTAGGCTCTAATATCCATTGCAATGGCTACATAGAACTCACAGAAAAAATTCGTGATTAAAGGGTTTATTAAAGAAGTTAACAGGTTGTAATGCCAGTGAGAAATCCTCAGGACAGAGGTGTTTTATCAGGACAAATTACAAAGTTCTTTCAGGTCTACTAATAAATGCTCAGAGGGCATGCCACTCCACTGTAAACCTCAATCCAAAGGCATTGAGCTCAAGCTCTGTGAGTTAGCAAGCCCAGCTTCCTCAGTTAAGTCCCCAGAGGCACCCACTTGAGAAGCCAGCCTCCTGCACAAAAGCACTCAGCTTCACTTGTTCTGTGGGTTGGGAAGTCCACCACTCTGTTCTAGACTCTGGCTCCTGGTTGTGCTGCTGCTCCTCCGATGTTATAGTTGTCTTCTGGATCCAGGTTCACTGCACAGGGATCTTGGGCTCCACTCCTGCTTCTTGCTGATAATGAGATCCCTCCTCCTGCTTCTCAGAGGCTCATCATATGCACAGCAGGATAGCATCCCAGGGCATCCTGTTCACAATTACAGAGGAAGCCTGTCAGTATCTGCCCCCACCTGCTTGCCAGCCCCGAGCAGGGAAAGGTCGCTCAGTGAGAGTTAGAGACTGGCTAGAGGAGTCACATTAAATAATTCAGTGTCCCTGCAGGGGCCAACCCTGGGGGAATCACATGATGCCAACTGCAGCAGTACCCTGGGAGTGTGAGCATAGCAAGAGTGGGGTGAGGGCGGTCACTGTTCCCACAATGACCCTCAGGGGGTTCCGAGGCAGTAGGAACAACTATGATTTACGGCCTTCATACTAGTAGTTTCTGAATAGAAGGAACATGCTCATCTTAGAAGAACTGAGAAACGAGAGAGGAAGACCTAGAAGAAAGTGAAGACCACCCCTGAGCCCAGTGTCCCCAGAGCCCGGCACCCATTCCTCACTCAACCCTGTGGTCAGGTCCCAGAGACCAGGTCTTCATGTAAAACCCAGCATTATGGAAAAATGGAGCGTGACCAATTCACTACATAACTGCCAAACCACTGAGAATCCCAGCCCAGCCATGTGGACACATGACCTTAACCCTACAGCCAGTGTAGCTCTCCCCTCTCCTGCCCCCACCCTCCACCCGCGTTTGTCACTGCCAGATGTGCATTGTTAATGTGCAAAAAGTTGGATAGTAGATTTTTTACTATTTTCATAAATGCAAAATGGTGGCTCATGGTTGCTAGGTGAGGAGGCGCACTGTGAACATTGTATGAAACGTTCCGTGCCTTTTGATGACAGCTAAGCCACAGACACACATGCATACGTTCTCACACATAGACATAGAGTTTAAAAATGCCATGTAAAATACAGCTCTGCTGCACTGTTCCCACTTACAATCCGGTGATAACAGAACATTCTCC